TATATATATATATATATATATACTGTCCGGTAACGGACGGTCCGTGTACCAGTCAACTGACGGACTGGTATGAACCGCCTGATACGGGCGGTATTATTCGAAACTGTATATCTTTGTTTTAACTATATAGTGTAGTCAAATTTTTTCCTGCTAGTGCTTACAATACTGCCCACTGTCAACTATATGACCTACCATGCTCAGTGGATTAGTGCATTCTATTTGATGCCTTTCCTCAATCATGCACTCGCAAGTTAAGATTTACTACTTACCAAAGTCTGAAATCAATGTCAATTTGAATATTCTATCTTGCATCAGACCCATTTGGCCTCCTGCCCAAAATATGCTGATTTTAAAAGTGGTTCCATTTGCTGATTTTTTTCACTATCACAATCAAGTGTTATGGATGTTGTATGTTTTCTGAGTTACGCCTCTTAATAGCTATTTCTGATATGTCACCGACTATCTGAATGTTGGAGTTTAATTTCTCACCCAACTATTTAGCAGTATCGGCTATATACATCTTTTGCTGTCATTGAGTAAAATCGGTAGATCCATGTTCATGCGATCCGTTGTAGAGCGTTGGTTGTCAATGGCCTAACACAACCATCCACCCTTTTTATCCGGGCTTGGGACCAACATAGGCAGTGTTTGAATGTCTTAGCAGAAGGCACAGGGACAAGTACATGTGAATTATGAGTGTGTATTACTTTATTCATATGTTCTGTTGGTAAGCCATGGATTGAGAAAAACAATGTTAGTTATATATATGATACTTTATAATCAAATTAAAGGTTGAAGTTTAGATAATTACAGACTTTAAGTAACTTTAAATGTCAGGTTCCAGGACATAATGTAGAAGTAAAGATTTTATATAGTGAACATCGTAGCTATAGCTAAAAAAGAAGTAAGAAAATACTACTTATTTGGAATGACTGCTGCGGTTACTTATATACGCACCAAACTCGATCAACTACTTGAAGTGAAGATTAACTTTCGTCGAGGCTCTATGAAAGCATCTATTTGTCCCTTTATAGGTGGCAGCTGTGCCCGAGGGTGTTGGCACTGCAGGAGCTTTGCGAGCTGTGGCATCTTACCTCACTGCCAATGATGTTCTGGTAGTCATCTAAATTCCTTGGTGATTTTGAAGGAGAAAAAAGACTGTGGGTTTCCGTTGTATTAATTCAGTGTATTTGTAGATTGTAAGCGGTGACCTTGTTACTGATGTGCCTCCTGGGGCTGTGGCTGCAACACACCGAAGACATAGTGCAGTAGTGACAGCATTGCTGTGTCCAGCTCCTGTTAGTGGTCCATCTGATACAGGAACTTCTGGAGGAAAGGAAAAGGCTAAAAAACCAGTCCGCTGCAATATTGTGGGGCTGGATCCAACAAGACAATATTTATTACACTTGGCAACAGGTTGTTGAATTTATCATGCCAAGTATAATTTACCTAGCTTCTTTTTTGGTTACTTTTATGTAACATAATACCTTGACAGGGGCTGAAGTTGAAAAGGATATTCGAGTTCAAAAGAGCCTTCTTCGGGCTGTGGGACAGGTATAAAATCTGTTTCATAATTTTTCATATGGATAATAATATTGTAACCTCTTCTTGCTTTTCACTACATGTTTCATCCTTTTCTCTTGGTTCAGTTTTTGAGTGATTTTTTGGTTCCAATATTCTGTTAACAAGAGACTGAGATAACCACATACTCATGCAAATCATGTGGAACTGATATAGAAAATATTCTAACTTCTCAGTTAAAACAATTACCTGTACAATCAGATGTCACACACTAATTGTCACGAGCGTGTAAATGACACCTCCATCATATGCTTTTTGTACAGGCGAATCTCATCAATATTCTGTTGAATTTCTTGTCAAGTGGTATTTTTATTAGTTAATTTGGCTTTCTAGTCATTGCATGTTCAAGCTAGGAAGCGATATGAAGGTCATTTGTTGCTGCCACCTTTTGCCTTTTGTGCTAATCTGATCTTGGGTTTCAAATAATTATAGATCCTCTATTTAATTCACTTATTGTTCTCATGTCATGATTTTTTTGGCTGCCTTTAGATTGAAATTCGAGCTGACCTCATGGATGCACACATGTATGCGTTTAAAAGGTCTGGCATTTCCTTTAAGTGGTGACTATTATATATTTTTTTTATAAAATCTTCTTTCTTATGCTTTTGACCACTAAATCCATTTCTTTGTCCTCTAACAAGTTATCATATATCAGGAGTGTTCTGCAGGACATTTTGGATCAAAAGGATAAATTTCATAGCATTAGACAGGATATTCTACCGTATCTGATCAGAACCCAGCTGGTATGCTAAGTAATATCTGTACTTCTTAGTAATTTTTAATTTTTGCTACCATTAGCTAACATTACAATTACATCATTGTCATCAGAATTCAGAAGTATCAGATAATGGAGGTATTAAATCTGAATTGGGGATGGATAATATATCTTCACAAAATGACCTGAGATGGTTGTCTCAACACCGAGAAATTGCTCCTTCTGCTTTCCAGGAGCCCCATGCTTTTAGTCTTAAGCCGCTACCTGATGCTCGAAGAACCCATAAATGCTGTGCTTATATCGCCAGTGAAAGCAAGTATTGTGCTCGTTTAAACTCTATTCAGGCATATAGTGACATTAATCGTGATGTAAGAATCTAAAAACCTAGAATACAATCATGACGTTGCAGCTGAGTAACTTTGTATTGTAACAGCTAATAAATTTTCATATGGCAAATAGGTGGTAGGAGAGGCTAGTCACCTTTCTGGCTATTCTTTCTCTGCACAAAACAACATCATTCATCCATCTGCTGAGCTGGGATCTAAAACTACGGTGAGCCATTGCACATTCTTAGTATCATTTTGTTCTACCTATGGTGCGTATGGTATATATTTGATTTTTCAATATATATATTTGATTTTTCGTGCATGCATTTTATTAGAAAGGTAAGGTAAATGGCATCATACTTCTGGTATGGCATAGATGATCATCGAGTCACTTTCTTATGCATGATTAATGATATAATAGACATCAGCCCATATATAAAACCCCAGAAGTTACCTTGTTTAACCTATAGGGCTGAATTGTTAACTTGTTGTCACTTCAAAAATCAATTTTGCTTTTACCTTTTCATGTATTAATGCCCTTGCAATCTTTACTTTCTAAGTGAAGTTCATTGGAGTTATGTTCTGTACTGAGTTTTCTCTGTTGGACTACATTTTATTTTCAATGCATTTTGGTACTTGATATTTTGTTGTACTTTGTAAAATCATGTGTTGTTTTTTATTATCCACATGACTCATGTAACTTAGTGATATAGGTTGGTCCACAATGCATGCTTGCAGAAGGTTCAAAATTAGGTGATAAATGTAGTGTGAAACGATCTGTCATTGGTCGCCACTGCAGGATTGGTTCAAATGTCAAGGTACATAGACACTGCAGTAAACCTGATCTCAAGCCAATTCTGATGTGTTATTATCAAAAGTGTAATTCTTGCAGCCATATATGAAAAACATGTATATGCTGTGGGAAGACATTACTTCAATTTATGATATTAATGATTTGTGTTTGGGACTGCAGATTGTCAATTCTATTGTGATGAATCATGTCACTATTGAAGATGGTTGTTCTATTCAAGGTTCTGTTGTATGCAGTAATGTGCAGCTTCAAGAGCGTGTTGTTCTAAAGGACTGTCAGGTGCACTATTTTTTTTTCCTTCTCTGTTTCTCTAACTTACTATTTGTGAATGAGAAAAAAAAGGATTACTACAAAGATCTCTTCCTGAATACATTACAATGAAGTGCAAGTCATACAGGAAGATAGAGATATGTTGTTTTGTCTCAATAGTCTAAGTCCATGGGAGAGTTTGAGAATATTTCTATTGTGGGTACAAGAATTATAACCTCTGACATAACGTTTACGTAAAATTTAAAGCCTAATTACTGCATGTGGAACCTCCAACACTTGTAACAAGAATCTCTGCAGGAAATCTCACTCTGATCACCTCACTGAACAATTTATGCGTGATAAATATTAAGTTATCTAGGATAAAGGAACTGCATGTCTATAATGCCAAAATATACAATAGAGCTTCTGTAATTACAGGTACAAATCAGTCCTAACCCTCCCTTGTTAATGAGCCTAACCACTTTGTTAACCATACAGACATGCAAGGAAGCAAGTTACATGTGTATGTGCAACTCATTAATGGAACAACCCATTTGCAATACTTCACAGGCCTACAGCTTATAGTTTTGAATTTTTGAACTTGTGCCCACAAGGATTAGACACAAGTTCACTAGTGGTGGTCTTAGAATCAGAAAGAACTCCCAAGGAAGGAATCCACATCGAACATCATATATGAGTTGCCCAGATGAGTCTTGTAGTCCTTAATGGCTTTTTATTTATGATTATGATTAACCTAAGTTCAGATCTAATAGGATTTGGCTTTGATCTCTTTATCCCATTTTTCACACCAGATGCAAGTGATCTAAAATTGAATTCAAATTACCAATGATCTCCACTTTCTTTAGTGGTTAGACTCGTAAGACCAACTTATTACAATTTTCACACTGACTTAATTTTTAATCTCTTTTTTAATGAGTACTATCATTTCCTGTCGCCCTGAGTCTTGGGCTATTATTATGCCACTAAGAATTATATCATCATATTTGAGTTTTCACCTTCAGCTCTCTGTAGCAACACAAGCACCTTCCTGACCCATTGTTGAACAGCTGCCTTGTGCAGCCTTATAAGGACCATCGTGTTCTCATACAACTATAGAATCTAATCAAAATTGCACCTATACCTGCATTCATGGTTTTACTTGCGTAAGTACTGTTACATTACACATCTCACCCTTCATGAGTGGACTTGCTTGGATGATTTTGTCCATTTGAAATATCAAACTGAGGATTGCTTTTTCTATTTGAAGAGATTAGGAGAGGGGAAGTTGAAAGGGTTGGAAGCTATAATCGTCTTCCATCACAGGCAATCCTGATGTTTCCAAGAAAAGGAAGACCACCTTTTCACAGTGAATTTCTTTAGGATGAGTACATTTACCTTCTCCAATCCTGCATTCCCTGTGCACTGCTGGTCCATCCTTTTTTTAGTCATTTGTCTTTCTAGGCACACTCCCATCATTTGCCGGTAAACTAAGAACAGTGTTGGGATGCCCAAAAAGACTCAAAATTGTGCCGAGATTATTCTGTGCATTTAGAGACACAAGTCTTAACCAACTATAGAGACCAACTCTTCAGCTTCCAACTCCAAGCACACTTTAGAGTGTTCTTCGCTACCAGCAACCAATCAAGTTGGTATTTGAAATGTTCATATTAAACCTATGAGCAGACAAAGAAACCCTGTTTTCTTGGGCTCTGGTATCAAACTAGAGTATTGCTTTGATAATTTGCACCTTGCGTGTAGTGTTCTATATGATACTTCCAGCTGAACAGAATGAGTATGAATTGCTTTCAGTGATCGCAAGTAGATGTCTCTAAGTTTGTTCTGGAAATTAAAAGTCCACTTCCCCTTGCTGCCTAAAATTTGTCAAGCTTGCATGTTTTCTGCAAGCTGTGTTCCTGAATAATCTGTACCTTACACTGCTATAACTATTAGCATCACATAATGTTATTACTGACTTGTTTGTTTGATTTCCTCTGGTTGTTCCATTGTCTTGAACCATCAGGTTGGTGCTGGTTATGTTGTCACAACTGGCAGTGAACACAAGTCCGAATCGCTTGCAAGAAAATAAGTGCTAACAAGTCTCTCGCAAGGTTTCCTAATTGCTTGCTTTTTCGGCGGAACTCCGGCCTATACATCCATGTGCTTTGAGGTCATGAGAGAGAGAGAGAGAGAGAGCCATTTTGTTGTCTCCCTTTTTATCTATGTCTATTGCTTTTTCTTGTCTTCTTTTTTAACCCAAGTACACCATCACAATATGCCATATCCTTGATAGAATTCTGAACTGTCTCGTTTCATATGTTTGCATGTAAAATTTGGTTTCTATTCATATCACTGCTTTTGATTTCCTTAATTAATTTCTTCCATTTTTTTTCAATGATTATTAGCTAATCTCTGTCAGATCGTCACTGTTGTAGGGTTTTGCATTTTAATTTTTTTGGTGTCCTACTTTGTTTAATTGATTGCAGTGAAATGTTCGATTTATTTCATTCATATCTCGATTTCACGTCTGACATGATGCTACTAAATTTTACCTCCATATACCTATTAAGGCATATGGAGAATGCCCAACTAAGATCATATTACCAGCTTGGATGCACCGAAGAGAACAACGCCGTTTGGTCATATAATTCTTAGGTTCGCTCTGAAACAGGTCCGATGTCTCTCTGGTCTCGATGCTAACTCGACTCGGCCCTAACAACATTCAATTCAATCATCACCCGCCATGATCTCCGCCGGGGGGG